ACTATCCAAGAAATTGCTCCATGACCGTAGCCCAGTGTGAGACTGATGGACACCAGCTCCACTGTTTTCTGAGTCCATGCAGAAAGGGGCTCAGACTCCAGGAGAGTGAACAGGCAGTGATAGGTTAACAGCAGCACTGTGTGCTAAGTACCAGTTATCAGAAATCCTGCTTCATACCTGGATGGAACGAGCCTTGAACCTCCTGCCTGGATATGTGGCATGTAGGGTAGAGTGATGATGTGGTCCCTCTGGGACCGTGGGCCTTTCAGTTGTTTTCAAGAGGCCTATAGCCATTTATTAAATCCACAAGCTATCAAACTGAGAACAGAGTTAAATCTACTGGTCCAGTAGATTGGACCAGTGACATAGCCAATTGACTAGTTGTGCTTGCCTTTACTCTTTGGTTCAGGAGACTCCTTTTGGGCAAGGATGTGGTTCTTAAAAATGTCGGAAGATAGGCTTATTGTGCTTAGATCTCCCAAAAGGAGAGTAAGTAATTAATCAACCTTAAAGGTAATGGTTTTTCAGGTACTGTGTTGAGAAAAGCCAATAGCTGTTGTATTTTTGCAGCAGTAGTCACATATTAGACCGTTCATCATGGGCTCATTGGTGGTAGATGTTGGCTCAACTGAATAATGGGATCATGACTTTCAGATCTTGCTTTTTACTCTTGACCTGGTGGCTAGGAGTTTTTATGACTGTAGTTTCCTTAGAGACCAGCTTGCAAGGGGCTGTGTGGTCTGTGGCAGCTCTCAGAACTCAGTGTCTCCAAGTAAACATCAGCAAGCTATGGGCCTTGCCTGTGGTTGCCTTTATGTGACTTGGAAGACTTGGGGGCAAGGGTGTCACACCTAGGTTTACAAGGTAGGCAGGGCAGAGGACACCAGATTGTGAGCAGGAACTGGCATGTTAGAGCTAGAAGTTGTCACTGCCCTCATCACGCCAGAATAGGTGCTCTTCCTGTGTGGTTGTATGGATCTGTGCGTGGGACCTCACCTATGGTGTTGTCCACTGGTTTGCAGCCAGAGGTGCCTATGGCAGGCATAGCTGATCAAAATTTGCATCATCAACTGAGTAATAGGAAACTAATTATAACTTCAGTTCTCCTAAGTTCTTCCAGTGTGTTGGTTAGGCTACACGAAGATCCTCCGCAGATGGGTAAGCATCCCCCTGCATGCACAAGGATTAAGACAGAGAAAGGAATCAGTTGTTAAAAAAGCAGCATCTGCCTCGAGAATGAAGTCTTTTTATTCTGCCATCTGAGAAGGCGTGTCCAGCCCCAGGAGCTTGACCATCTCACTTTCCTCTTTTTTTTCCCCACCTATAAAATGGAAATGACAACTTGAACCTCACGGAGCTGTCCGGAGGATTAAGGGAAACCGTGGGTGTAAGGTGTCTGTCTGGACCAGTGCCTGGAACATAGTAGGTACTCAGTAAATGAGAGCCCTCGCCCCTAGACAGAATTTGGGGGCTTCGCCAGTTTACAGATGGCATCTTGAAGGAGGCAAATGTGTAGCTCTCAGCCCAGGCATTCCAAAAACACATTTCGAAGAGAGGGCCATCCTTGCAATGCTGCGGACAGCCTCTGCAAAAAGGAAGCTGCATCAGGAAGTATTGTGGGGGTCGAGGGACAGAGCGTTGAGCGGGGCCTGCAGGAGCCGCCTCTGATTTCCATCACCCTGAGGATCTGGCTCCCACAGTATGAGCACTTGCCGTTCTGGCGTGGGGTAGACTGGGTGACAGTGGCATTTCCCAAAGCGGATTCCTGAAGTCACTGTTTTTGAAGGATATTAAGGAATGCAATATTTAAAAAATGGGTTTTAGTGGCCAAGTATGTTTGAGATGGCTGAGTTAAATAAAGCTAAATGGATCTCATTCTGGTCCAAACTTCGCAGAGCCTTTGATATCCTTGTGCAAGTTGTTTCTCCTTAAGAAAGGGGCTGGGTCAGCGGCTCATTCTAAATTGAGTCGTTCCCAGAAGCCTGTATTCCCCTCGATCCTCCAGCATCCCACTGTGCCAAGAGCAGCTTAGAAAAGCCAGGTTACCTTCCAGCTCAGATGTCCTGTGTCAGTACCTTCTGCAGGTGGGGCTGGAAGTGGGGACTCAATTCGTGTTTTTCCACTTGTTGGACCTTATTCTCTGTCCTTTGGGACTTCCGGACAGCGCCCAGAAGAGGCTGAGCCACTCAGGAGAGTGCCACCTGTGAGCAGAGATACTCCAGACATCACCCTGGAGCTAATCCTTTCCCTGGGATGAACGCTGTCCAGACCTCCCCTGGTTTTTGGCCTCCCAGGATGTGGGGCTGCCCGAGTTCTTCCTCCCAGGGTGCGGGTGCCTCCCCACCACCCACTGACCACTCAGCTTGTGGAAATGGATCAACTGGCCCTCCTGCTCTGCCAGAGCCACCACCAGGAGGCAGTCTTGTCATCCTCCCTGCTCCTTTGTGAGGCCTTTGACTGCAGAATGTGGCAGAGGGAGTAGTGGGGGCGAGGGCGGGGCAGGTCCAAATTAGTCAGTGTCACAAATGTGGCTCTCCAGGGGCCAAGGATGGGAGATCCAGGCCATCTGCTCACTTGGCTGGATTTCATGTGTGCTCTTGGACTTGTCACCCACACATCCCCCCCATGCCTGGACCTCCACGCATTCTGGGCACTGTCAGGAGGGTGTCTTGGGGCCCTGACAAGGTATCAGGTAATTCAGGTGAGCCTGAAGAGCTGAGGAGTCTTGTTTGTGGTCCTGGAGCTGGTTCTCCCAGCATAGAGCCCCGGGGCCTCCCCAGCCCAGGCGCAGCATCGCTCTTTCCAGGTACCCCAGCCTCTGAGCTGCCTCTGGGATGCTCCACCTCTGGACCTAGTGCTGATCCATCACCATCATTTTCTCTTGCTCTCTCCTGTCCCCCACCCAGCAGAAAGCGCTTTCAGTCGGAGAGTAGAAAGCAAAGCACAAAACCACTTTGAAGAGACGAATAGCAGTTCCCAAAACTCCAGCGGTGAGTGTACCCCGTGATGGCTGTCCTGTCCTGTCCTGAGGCTGCCACCTCCATTTGCTCCCAGTCATGATGGTGGCAGGTGCTTTGCAGGCCTGGGTCTTTGTGGTATATGGTGGTGGTGTTGGGAGGAGGCGGGGGTTGGGGAATTAGAAGGAGGCCAGGGTCGGACAGAAGCCCAGGAACCTTTTCTTCCAGGGACATCCCTCTGGGCCTCAGGGCGTCTCAGGGGCTGTGGCCCCTCTTTGTCTCTTGTCCATGAGAGAGGAATTCCCCGCCTCCCAGTAGCCCACAGCATCCACTCACATGGCCCCAGAGGGTTGGGCTTGAAAGAGCCATTGCTATGTTTTTAGGGTAAACACTGTGGCCAGTTTCTTCCCAGGAGAGGCACAGGGGGTGCAGTAGTGAGAGCTGTGGGTCTTGAGTTCTGGCCCCACTTTGGCCCCACCAGGGCCATCCAGAGGTTCCCTTCCAGCCTCACCAGCCCAAGGTTTGCCTGAGGTTCCCGGTGGTGTTTTGGCTCCCCCTGGTGGCTTTCTGCAGGACCCTGGCAGAGCCAAGAGTGCCTTGGACACAGCAGCCAAAGGCTATTATCCCTAGGCAGACCCAGGTCAGCCTGCAGGGCCGTGGGTGGTCATGAGCAGCCTCTGTCCAAGAAAGGCATAGCACTGTGTTCTGCATAGTGACATCCAGGTCAGAAAGGGAAAAGAATTCTTAACACTTTGGTTATATAAAGGCACCCACTCTCTTGCACAGTTGAAGTTTCATTTGCTGTATTAGGTGTCAGCCTGTGCCCAGCATGTCCTGAGCACTGCTTGGGTGTAGATGGATGGTAGATGCGGGCTGATCGCCAGGGGCCTTTATGAAATAGCCAGGAGAACAGACTCGAACATGGAGGCTTCTGCATAGTAATCTGAGCTCCAGCTAACATCTCCAGCCAAAGTTCAAACCCTGCTCTACCACCGGTGAGCTGGTGACTCGGGCTAGCCCCTTACTTCCTTCTCCGCTGTAAAGTGGGAATAGCACACATGTCCCTGCGCTGGTGAACATTCAGCGAGTGTCCTGGCATAGATTATGTAAGCACTCACATGGTGAGCTGTTTTGGTGGTTTTTTGTTTTTGTTTTTAAGTAAACCGAGTGATCGGATGAGTGCCCCGAGCAAGGTAGTGAGAGGTATGCTGTGAGAGCCTCAAGAATGTTGACAGGATCCCTTAAACCGTACAGAGCACATCGGCTTTTCCAAGCTGCTTCACCTTTTTGAAAAATGTAATCCAGCAGCCTCTGCAAGAGGTCGGCCTAAAAGTGATGGAGTTTTGCCCAAGGCCACAGAGAAATAAGTAGCAGAGCCAGGACTAGAACCATGGTCTCCTGGGAGCCTTTGCTCTCAGCCAGCGGGGCTGCATCCCTTGCCTCTCCTTCCCCCTGAGCTGATATTCAGAATTGGGAATGACGGTGTAAAGTGCAGCCACCATTTATTAAGCGCTTACTGTGTGCCTGGCCTGTGTTCAGAGCTGTGTGTGTCTTACTTGTTTTCATCCTTACCACAGCCCCGGGGCGGGGGATGGGGAGGGGGTCAGTGTTAGCTCCACTTTTTGAATGAGGAAGCTGAGGCTCAGCAGAGGTCGATTGTTGCCCCAGGTCCCCAGCTTATAAGTGGTGGAGCCAGGATCCCCGGCCTAGTCCATCTGGCCCCATTCTGCTTCCTCTTGCATCTGAGGCTCACCTGACGACACCAGGAAGCGTGGGGGACGTCCCGGCAGGCAGAAGCCCTCAAAAGCACAGCCCTCGCTGTGGCTGCTCTGGTGTTTGGTGCCAAACATTCCCATCCCAGTGCCAGGACCTAGACGCATCTGCCTGTTCTAAGGTGGGCAGCCACGCCTGGACATTTTCTTCGTACATTCTGTGAGCTCACTTTTTGAGAGTTGAGCATGTCCTAGAGGGATGGCCCTGGCTGATCTTGCCCTCCCCGATGCTACAGGATGTGAGCCTGGCTCAGATGCTCCCCCTCCTCCGAGAGCCCCATCTGGCTTACTACTTATTAAGAATGGAAAGAATGACAGTTGTCTCAGAGCACCAGGACTGGAAGAGACTTAGCTAAACTGTTTCTCTTTTGCAGAAACTGCAAGTCCCCTGATTTCCAATACTTTCCCTCTCCTACAGAGTAAGTCGTGGTCCCATCGGTGGGCTGGAGAGGGCGAGACAGGGCAGGGAATGAACTCAGCTGGCCACATGCTCTTGGGGCCTCCTCAGAGCATCTGCCCTTGGGTCACCCTCCCAGGCAGACCGGGCAGCTGGTGGAGGCAGGAGGAGGACCCAGCCCCAGGCGGGTGGAGGAGTTTGGGCGGGGACAGGGCAGAGCCCTGACCGTGGGCAGCCTGCCTCTGCTCCCCTCCCCCAACCCTGGCAGGAACACAGACCTCCTCCTTCCTGCCCACTGTGGCAGCCTCGGGACACTTCCTGTCATTGTCAACCATTCCCTTCCTCTCTTTTCCCTACCCTCCTTTGCACCTCTTCTTTCTTTCTTCTTCATCCCTCATCTCTGTGCCAGGCACTGACTTGAGCGTTGGAACACGGAGATGGAAGTTAATAGCTCACTGGCAGACTAGTTCCCATGGCTGCATATACTCTCATTCTCCCTTCCCTTCTGCCCCCTCTCTCCTCTTCCTTTTCCACATCTTATCCTCTTCTTGCTTTCCTGTGGCTTTCTCTACTTCTTACCCTCTTCTCTTGCTTCTTCTTCCCCTCCCTTTCCTGCCCTCTGCGTCCATTGTCTCGTTTTGGTTCATTCATACATTCGTTCATTTGTTCACTCAGCAAACAGTGACATCCGTGTGCTTCCACAGGCAGCGAGATGGGCTGTGGAACCAATAAGACGTGGTCTCTGCTTAAGAGAGCTCCTGGTCCATTAGCGCTGTCCTCCCGCAGCCCATCCTCAGTGCCCAGAACAGTGCCTGGCACACAGTAAGCACTCAGTAAATAGCTGCTGCCTGACTGCATTAGATGGTCTCTCTATCTGCACGTCTTCCTCTCTCCATTGCTCCCTCCTCCCCCCAGCCTCTTCCTCACTAGTTAGTGATGGGGACAGACAGGCTGGGCCCGGAGCCCCAGTGTGTGTTTGGGTTCCCAGTTCCAAATCTGCCCAAAGCCCAGCAGAAAGGTGTCCGGTTTTGTTTTGCCCCTAACAGGACTGCTTCGTTTGTCCCCCCAGAACCTTACACCTGTGGCGCCTGTGGGATCCAGTTCCAGTTCTATAACAACCTGTTGGAGCACATGCAGTCGCACGCAGGTAAGGGGCCCAGTGGCCCACAGCAGAGCCAGCCTGAGGCCCCCAGGGAAGACTGTTCTTTCCTAGGAAATGGTCACAGGACTTGAGACCTGCCCTCGCAGAGCCCTAGTCAGTTATAACACGGGGGGCCGTGGGGAGGGCGGTGCTCTGGGGACACAGTAGGCTCAGAGGGAACACAGAGAGCAGGCATGGAGCTAAAGGCTTCTGGAAGGTTGTGGCTCCAGTACTAAGCCTAAAGGCCAAGTAGAAGCTGGCCAGGAAAGAGACATCAGTGTGGAAATTGAGTGTGGTTTGAGATCAGGGTGAGCAGAGGCAGGAGCTGGGAGTGGGGAGGCATCAGCCTGGGCAGCCTGTGCCTAAGCTCCGTCTCAGCGCAGCCACAGTCACTGTGCCGCTCCGGCCCACAGTGCAGCTGTCCTTAAACTTGAGCAGGCATCACTCACCAGGAGGGCTTGTTAAAGCACAAATTTCAGATTCCATAGGCCTAGGATACGGCCTAGGATTTGCATCTCTGACTAGTCCTCGGACCGTCCCCTGCTGCTAGTCCTGGGACCGTGCTTTGAGAACCACTGCTCGAGTACAGGCTTGTAGCCTGCTGTCCAGATAACCTTTTTATCCGCTGTTTTGCCATCTTTCCAGCTGGCAGCATCAGTCCCCTCACTCCAGACCACCCAGCCTTCCAACAGATAACATCCAGTTTTAGGTTTTGTCGCAGTAGCATCCCACTTCTGGTCTAATTTCTTTTTGAGTCAGGGAAGCACTGTTTGCCGTAACAGATAAATCCAAACTTCTCAGTGGTTTTAACGGAATCATTTCTCAGTCACATCACAGCCTAATACAAGTGTCCTGGTTGAGTGGCCTCCCACATGATGATTCAGGGTCCCAGGGTCCTTCCTTTGTGTGGCTTCATCCTCCCCTGGGTCTTTTTTTTTGAAAGGAGCATGCTTCATTTTTTACCTCTTTAGATGGCAAGTGACACATGTCATATAAGCTCAGATTCCAGGGGCAGGACAAATGCCCAGAGCCACTGCCCAGGGACAGCCCAGCACGCTGCAAAGGGAAACAGGAATCTGGGGAGGCAGCTAGCTGTCCTGTCCCCGCCACCCCTTCCCCAGAGTAACGCTCTGGAGGCACTGGAAGTGATGAGAGAAAGGTTCAGTAAGAGGAGCTGTTGTTATTTCTGTTGTTTATATTATTATTGTTTGTATCTCTTTTAGGTTTTCAAGTTTTCCATATAATCTTCTAGGTCTGGCCTGACTAGTACAGGACTAGACTCTCCTTTAGGTTAGGTACTGTTAGTGTGATCTTCATTCATTTCTTCATTCGTTCATTCATTCAGGATGTGTTTATTGGATATCTGCTCTATACTAATTCACATGATCTTTTGGGGAGCCTATTATTTATTCTAATGGACTTATTAAAACAGGACAGAGTTGGATTGGCAGTCAAGACATGTGAGTTGCATCCTCTGGTGTGCCTCTAAGCCCTGTGACTTCGGGCAGGAACCTTTGTCCCGCTCTCTGAGAGTCTCCATCTGTAACACAAGGGCACATAAACTTGCAATCTCCAGCTGCCGTCCTCACACCAAGGCTCCATCTACAGGTGTCTCACACCTCCTCCTCGCCTTTGCTGTCAATCATCCTGTGCCAGGGAATGCCTTGAATGCCGGCCCAGGGCATTTAGACTTGACCTTATGGGGAACAGTGACAGCAATTGGAAGGCTGCTCAGGGACCACTGCCTGAGCACACCGAGACTCCCACGGCCCAGCCCCTCACTCCTCCTGCTCTGAAACCCCAACCCTCCACCTGTGCCTCTGCCAGCTTCTGGAAGCTGAGGCTAATTAGGGAAGAGTCCGGGTACCTGTACTTCCCCATTCCTCAGGCTCTTGGGCAGAGGCCATTAAAATGCAAATCGAGGCTGCACCTTGTGGTGGCCCCACCTCCCCCGAGCATCTCAACTTGTTTTCTACAACGAGCTTTGGGCTGCTTTGTTCTGGTCCAGTGCTAGCAGAGAATGCAGGAGGCAATCCAGTGCAAAGCCAGGCAGAATCCCAGCCAGGCTGAGTCGGGATTAAAGGATTGACTCCATAGAGAGAAATTAAGCGTCATGATCTGTGCAGTTCACAGTGCTGCTGATAAGGGGGATCAGCCTCGAATAACACCAATCTCATTAAGAGGCTGCTGAATGGCACACGGTAATTCCTGCTAATAAACTTCCTTCCTGTGCTGTAGAGAAACCTGTCTTGCCTCCTCTAACAGTTCAGGAGCACGTTTTGGTAGTGATAATACTAAAGATAGCTAACATTTAGTGACTGATTACTGTGTGTCAGGTCTGGTTATTTTCATCAGATCTCCTGAACAAGCCTATTCGCAAGCTGACATTATCATCTCATTGTTCAGAAACTGAGAGAACCACAGCCAGGAGAGGCGTGGGGACTCACCCAGGTGGCAGACAGGTTGGCAGCTGCAGTCTTAGGATTTGAGAATGGCCACACTTGATTTCTAATCCCTTTGAGCCCCTTCACCTCTCTGGGCCCCAGTCTTCTCATCTGTAAAGCGGGCTAACCAGTGCTTTCCACAGGCTGGGTGCATGTTCTAAAGATAACATGTTCAGGGCTGTGGGACATTCTAAGACCGAACAGCAACAGGTGTCTATTTTTCCATCCCCTGCCAGAAATAACCGCTTTCTCCTTCCTGCACTGGTCCCTCCCTGGGAGATAGCCTTTATTCCACCTTTGCATCCAATCCTTTACAGATGTGTATGTGTGCCTGCCTGCCTGCATGCATGTATATGTATCTGTGTGCACGTGTGTGTTTATCTGTGGTGCATAGGGATAGCCACACTGAGTACATCTTATTTCCTGCTCAAGCTGTAAATCAAGCTTTTTCACAGAGCATTTACTGAGTATCTCACCCATTTTTTAATCAACCAATACTAGACATTGTTTTATACTGCTAGGTTGAATAATCTCTATTCCCAGTCTTGTGGAAAGCCAGAGAATGAGGGAATCACCCTGCAGCTTGCCCAGCACCAGCATTTTAGAGAGAAAAAGGGAAACTGAGGCCCAGAGAGTTGAAGGAACTAACTCAAGGTCATACTCACAGCCATGGCAGAGCTGGGTTCAAACCCAGGTCTTTCAAATCCCTGTACCTCTAGTGAAGAAAGTCAATAAGAACGGCTACTGGTTTCCATTTTTAAATTTGTGCTTCCTCTTTTTAAATGTAATATCTATTCATTAAAAGAAATTGGGAAAATACAGAGAAATTAGGAAATGAAGAATCAGCCATAGTCTCATTACTCAAAGCTAACCACTGTTACTACTCATTGAATAGGTGGTTTTTTCAGTTATTTTTAAAATCAGATTTATTGAGATATAATTTATAAAAATAGACTATATCAATTTTAAGAGTACCGTTGAATGGGTTTTGACAAATGTAGATAATTTAATCACCATCGCAGCCAAAACATATAACATTCCTATCAGCCTAAGATGTTTTCTCCTGCCTCTTGGCAGCCAGCCCCTTCCTTCACTCACCCTCCCAGCCCCTACCTGCTTTCTTTTGCCATAGTCTTTCTTTTACTGGAATTTTATATAAATAGAATTATACGGTATTTAGTCTTCCGAGTGTGACTTCTTTTCACTTAGCATACTTTTGAGCTTCATCCATGTTGTTCCATTTTATCAGCGATGCCCCTTTTTTATTTCTCCGTGGTGTACTATTGTTTGGATATACCACAATTTGTTTATCCGTTCACCAATTGATGGATATTTCGGTTGTTTCCAGTTTGGGGCTACTATGAATAAACCTGCTATGAACATTCAAGTACAAGTTCTTTATGTGGACATATGTTTTTAACTCTGTGGGCATATTCCTAGGAGTAGACATGCTGGTGGGTCCTATGGTAATCCTGTGGTTAACCATTTGAGGTAGTGCCAGAGTGATTTCTAGAGAGGGATTTTTACATTCCCACCAACAGTGTATGAGGGATCTGATTCCTCTACATCCTCGATGACTTGTTATAATCTGATTTTTTTTATTATATTCATCCTGTGTACATGAGGTGGTATTTCATTGTGATTTTGATTTAAATATTCTTGGTGACTAATAATGTGGAACATACTTTCATGTGCTATTGGCCATTCGAATATCTTCCTTGGAGAAATGTCTTTTTAGATCCTGTTCCCATTTTTTAATTGAGTTTTTTTCTCTTTTTATTATTGAATTGCGAGTGTTCTTGACATATTCTAGATACAAGACCTCTATAGATATACGATTTGCAAATATTTACTCCCATTCTTTGGGTTGCCTTTTTACTCTCTTGATACTATCTTTTGAAGAGCAGAAGTCTTTGAATTTGATGAAGTTCATTTATTTATTTATTTTGTTGTATGCTTTTGGTGTGATCTCTAAGAAACTATTGCCTAACCCAAGATCACAAAGACTTAACTCTTCTTTTCTTTTAAAGTTTTATAGTTTTAGCTCTTACATTTATGCCTATATTCCATTTTGAGTTAATTTTTCTATGTGGTGTGAGATAGGGATCCAATTTCATCCTTTTTCATGTGGATATACAGTTGTCCTAGCACCATTTTTTGAAAAGACTATTCTTACTCCCATTGAATTTTTCTGGTCCCCCCCTTATTGAAAATCAATTAACCACACGTGCGAGGGTTATTTCTGGATTCTGATTTCTATTCCATCAATCCATATGTCTGTCTTTGTCCTTCCAATACTACACTGTCTTGATTACTGTAGCTTTGTGGTAGTTTTGAAATCAGAAAGTGCGAGCCCTCCAACTTTCTTCTTTTTCAAGAGTGTTTTGGCTATTCTGCATCTCTTAGAGTTCCACATGAATCTTAGGATCAGCTTGTCAGTTTCTATAAAAAGCCAGCAGGGATTTTGATAAGGATTGTATTGAATCTAGATCAGTTTTGGGGTTATTGCCCTTTAAAAAATATCGTCTTCAATTCATCAGCGTGGAATGTCTTTGGGTTCTTTCAACAGTGTCGTTAGTTTTCAGTGTACAAATCTTGCACTTCTTTTGTGAATTTATTCCTCAGTATTTTATTCTTTTGGATGTTATTGTAAATGAAATTATTTTCTTAATTTAATTTTCAGTGTTCATTTGCTATTATAGAGAAAAAAATTGATTTTTTTCATATATATCGACCTTGTTTCCTGTAACCTTGCTGAACTCATTTATTAGTTCTGATAGTTGTGTGTGTGTGTATTGCATAGGTTTTCTATACATACATCATGTCATCTACAAATAGAGATCATTTTGCTGCTTCTCTTCCATTGCAGTGTAGATTCTTTTTTTTCTAATTGCCCTTGCTAGAACCTGTAATACATGTTGAGTAGAAGAGATGAGAATGGATGTTTTTTTCTTGTTCCTCATCTTAAGGGAAAAGCTTTCAATGTTTCACCATTAGGTGTGGTACTAGCAGTGGGTTTTTCATAGATGTCCATTATCAAGTTGAAAAGGTCCCTTTGATTCCTACTTTGTGGAATCTTTTTATCATCAAAAGGGTATTGGGTTTTGTCATACTTTTTCCACATCTGTTGAGATGATCGTGTGATTTTTGTCCTTCATTCTATTAATAAGGTATATTATGTTGATTTTTATATGTTGAGCCAACTATTTATTCCGGGAATAAATCTCACTTGGTCATGGTGTATTATCTGTTATATATATGTAGCCACATTTGGTCTGCTGTATTTTATTCAGGATGTTTGTGTCTGTATTCATATGGGATAGTGGGCTGTAGTTTCTTATAATTTCTTTGTTTGATTTTGGTGTCATAATAATGCTCGCCTCATTAAATGAATTAAGAAGTGTTTCTTCCTCTTCTTTTTTGGGAAAAATTTATGAAGAGTTCCTTTAATATATGATGGAATTCACCAATGAAGCCATATGAATCTGGACTTCTTTGTGTGTGTATGTGTAGGAAGTATTTTGATTACTGATTCTTTTTTTTTTTTTTTTCAGATTTTCTATTTCTTAAATTGGTTTTGGGAGTTTATGTCTTTCTAAGAATTTTTCTGTTTCATTCAGGTCATTTAATTTGTTGGAATATTATGTATTCCATAATAGTATTTCCTTATAATTCTTTTTTATTTCTATCAAGTTAGTAAACTTGTTTTGTTTTGTTTTGATGCCCTTTATCAAGTCGAAGAAGTTTCCTTCTCTTAGTTTGCTGAGAGTTCATGTCATGAATGGATGTTGAATTTTGTCACATTTTACTGTGCATTATTATTTATGGAGGTCATTCTGCTTCTTTTTTTCTCTTAGTATAGGGAATTACACTGATTGGTTTTCAAGTTTTAACCCCAACTTGCACTTCTGGGATAAACTCCACTTATCGTGACGTATTCTTTTTCTTACTGTAGTTAGTTTGCTAATGTTTTATTAAGGATTTTTGTGTGTATGTTTATGAGGGATGGTGGTCAGTGGTTTCTTTTCTTGTAATATTTTCCTCTAGTTTGGGTTCAGAGTAATGCAAGCCTCATAAAATGAATTTCTAGTAAATATATTGAAAAGACAAAAACACACTTTGAAGAAGTGAGAGTGTGAGATGCTTTAGGCCACTTGGGGTGTAACTGGCACCTCTTGGCTATTTCAGAGCTAGAACTTCATGGTTATGTGTGGGTGTGAGGCCTCCCAGCCAGACGCGGGTATAGCGATTCCCACTCACTGAGCACGAAGTCCTTGCCGGGCACTGTGCTCAGCTCGTTGGCTGCATTATCTCGTTAGCCTTCCAGCAATTTCGTCACAGCTGTGTGATTGTCTTCATTTTTCCAAATGATAAAAATGAGGTTTGACAAACAGAAGATAGTTGTGTAATGAGGAGCCAGGATTGGGACCCAGGCCTGAGTCCCCGAGGCTGTGTTTCACCTGTACCCACCGAGCCCTAGCTCTCGTCTTGTCAGTCCACGAGGCTCCTATATTTTTGGGTTAACACACTATTTCCTTTGTGCCCACAGCGGACAATGAGAATAACATCGCCTCCAACCAGTCGCGATCGCCACCTGCTGTCGTGGAAGAGAAGTGGAAACCCCAGGCCCAGAGGAACAGTGCCAACAACAGTAGGTCTCTCCCAGCGGGGAGCCCGGGGGACTCATGGAGGTCTGCCCCACGCACCTCCATCCCCCACATGGGTTGTTCCCTTCCGCCCCTCATCCCCACCACCTGTGCCTCCCATGATGACAAATGACCATGCACAACAGTTTCCAAAGCACTTTCACACCTAAGACCTTGTTTGTGAATCATAACCTCACGGGATGGGCAGAAGGAGGCCTGGGGAGAGGAGGTGATCTGTTTGTGGTCACAGAACACAAATTAGTGACAGAATCGGAACTGGAATCTGCTCTCACCACTTCACTTGGCTGTTCTTTTCTGACATTGTGGCCTCATTTATTATATTCACTAGATATTCCTTTATTAGAGGCCATTTTTAAACTGAGGAGAGGTTAGACTAGTTGGCTTCAAAAGTGTAGGTGAATGACACATGTAGCAAGTATTTCACACATACCGGTAAATTTTATTTCCACGAGACTCGTATGTTAAAGACAGCCAGCACCACCAGCCTGTGTGCAAAATAAAAGCTCCTAATTCCTAATAATAGATGCTTAGAGTATTAAGCTGCTGGCAGACCAAGGAGCCTCAAATGCCAGGATTAATGACATCTCTCCTTGTATCCCTTGCCAGCCACGACCAGTGGTTTAACACCTAACAGCATGATCCCTGAGAAGGAGCGGCAGAACATCGCAGAGCGGCTGTTGCGGGTCATGTGCGCAGACTTGGGTGCGCTGAGTGTGGTGAGTGGGAAGGAGTTCCTGAAACTGGCCCAGACGCTGGTGGACAGTGGTGCCCGCTATGGGGCCTTCTCGGTCACCGAGATCCTGGGCAACTTCAACACGCTGGCACTGAAGCACTTGCCGCGCATGTACAACCAGGTGAAGGTGAAGGTGACGTGTGCCTTGGGCAGCAACGCCTGCCTGGGCATTGGCGTTACCTGCCACTCACAGAGTGTTGGCCCTGACTCCTGCTACATCCTCACAGCCTACCAGGCTGAGGGCAACCACATCAAGAGCTATGTGCTGGGAGTGAAGGGCGCGGACATTCGTGACAGTGGCGACCTGGTGCACCACTGGGTGCAGAATGTGCTGTCGGAGTTTGTGATGTCAGAGATCCGGACAGTGTACGTGACGGACTGCCGGGTGAGCGCGTCCGCCTTCTCCAAGGCCGGCATGTGCCTCCGCTGCTCAGCCTGTGCCTTGAACTCGGTGGTTCAGAGCGTGTTGAGCAAGCGGACGCTGCAGGCCCGCAGCATGCACGAGGTCATCGAGCTGCTGAATGTGTGTGAGGACCTGGCGGGCTCCACAGGCCTTGCAAAGGAGACCTTCGGGTCGCTGGAGGAAACCTCGCCACCACCCTGCTGGAACTCGGTCACGGACTCGCTGCTGCTGGTGCACGAGCGCTATGAGCAGATCTGTGAATTCTACAGCCGGGCCAAGAAGATGAACCTCATCCAGAGCCTCAACAAGCATCTGCTCAGCAACCTGGCAGCCATCCTGACGCCAGTGAAGCAGGCGGTCATTGAGCTGAGCAATGAGAGCCAGCCCACCCTGCAGCTGGTGCTGCCCACCTATGTCAGGCTGGAGAAGCTGTTCACCGCCAAGGCCAATGACGCGGGCACCGTCAGCAAGCTGTGCCACCTCTTCCTGGAGGCCCTCAAGGAGAACTTCAAGGTGCACCCGGCACACAAGGTGGCCATGATCCTGGACCCGCAGCAGAAGCTGCGCCCTGTCCCGCCCTACCAGCATGAGGAGATCATCGGCAAGGTGTGCGAGCTCATCAATGAGGTCAAGGAGTCCTGGACAGAGGAGGCTGACTTTGAGCCCGCCACCAAGAAGCCCCGCTCTGCCACCGGCGAGAACCCCACAGCTCAGGAAGACGATCGCCTGGGGAAGAATGAAGTATACGATTACCTGCAGGAGCCCCTCTTCCAGGCTACCCCTGATCTCTTCCAGTACTGGTCGTGCGTTACCCAAAAGCACACGAAACTCGCCAAGCTCGCCTTCTGGCTCCTCGCGGTTCCGGCCGTGGGGGCCAGGAGCGGATGTGTAAATATGTGTGAACAGGCACTTCTAATCAAAAGGAGGCGACTGCTCAGTCCGGAAGATATGAACAAACTCATGTTTCTGAAATCCAACATGCTTTAAGACTTTAGTTTGGAACAAAAAAAATAAAGAGAGAAGAGAACGGTAAAAAGAAAAAAAAACACACAACACTGTCGCAAACAAAGAAAAGGAATTTAAGTTCTAAACACTGTGGACCTCATCATAAATGCCCCCTGGAAACTTAAGTGCTTTTTTCAGTGTGTGTGTGCATGTGCGTGCACACCCACACCCGTACGGATGTGTGCAAGCACACATACTGTGGGTGCGGCCTGGGGATCTGTGCTCATCTGTGAGGCCACAGAAGCCTCACGCACACATGCACACACATACTACCCTGGTGCATGCACGCTCGCCCGCTCGTGGGCGCATGTGCATTAAGCTGGGTGTGTCAGGAAAGCTGAGTGTTCGGGAAAGAGGGAAGATGCTTCACCTTTTCTCAGTAAGGGGCTTTAAAGACTCCGTTTTCAGGTGTGCAGATTGGTAGAACGCTGATGTCGTAAATTGTTCAGGCAGCTGAGATCTGAAGTGACTTGACACTTTCTGTCCTTCACCCCATGGTCCCCCTTTTTCCTCCGTCCCCTCCTCCAAGCCCTCCTGACCCTAATGCACCCACCCCACCCCAGCTGCCCTGCCATGGATTCTCCAAACTGCATCAGATGGACAGTTTCTGCACTGGACTTTGTTCTTGTTCACCTTCAGGGCATTGAGCTGCTGCCTTTGAGACGCCCTTGGGTGTCACGGGGCAGCCGCCTTAGAAACACACCTATCTATCTCCCCAAATCAGGAAAGGAGACTTTAAGAATATAAAGCTGACTTTTGGCTTTTTAATATAAGAGAAAAAAAGACATTTTTCAGAGAAGTATAGATACTGTCTCCACTCCTTAATACTTTTTTCCTAACATTCTAGCAGTTTTTACTTTTTTTTGTTTTGTTTTTTTGGGGGTTTTGGTTTTGGTTTCTTTTTTTTTTTCCTTTTTTCAAATTTGATTTAGACTCTGCTAGGAGGCACTGAATGTCTATAACTTATGTTTTGGAAGTCTTTTTTTTTTAAATGCCCTTTTCCTCAAGTCACACTGTAAACTAGCTCATCTCAGTGGTATATTCACTATCCTAAGGTTTGTATTAGCCTTCCCTGTACAGCCCAGTTTTCGTGTATTCGAACAGCCAAGACCATGAACTTGGCTGTGCTGTTTGGAAACCAGAAGTGGGGTTGGAGTCACAGGTTTCACAGATGTGGGGTTTGGTGGAAGCCATAGGGAAGCATGTGGCTTAGGAGTTTCCTGAATGTAAGTGGAAGACCTGCCCTCCTGGCTTGCTGTGTCTGGTACTGCGAATGTTTGATTTCTATACCCAGAGTGCATTACACTACTCGCCACATCACTGACACTTCCAGCTCAGCCGGGACTCCTGAGATGATCCGTGTTCACATCCATCACACCTCAGACCCACGACCTCTCCTCCCCACCAGGACCCTAGGGGTTCCGGCAGTTCCATTGCCCACAGCCCTCCTTCCAGGACAATAGTTGAGCGCGGTGCCTTGTGGGCCAAACGATTGATGTCTTGAGGGTGGAATGGCATTAGGCCACATTCAACTCAATGCTGTGAAAGATATCTTTAGGCTTTTCTCTCCATGAGCAGTTTAGGTTCTATACACTCAGTCCAAATGCTGAGAGGGTGGCCCCTGTCCCCTCACAAGAGGTGGTTCTGTCAGGATCAATGCTCAGCCTCCCACCCCACCTCTCAGTGAATAAAATGCTCTCACATCTTCCGACACCCATGGCTGTGAGATGGAGGTGGTGGTTACACCAACAGCTTCAGGCTGAGAAAGACCACCGTCGTGGGGGCTAAATCCACTCCATCCCTTCCTGGTAATAAAGCATTACTCAACTGCGAGATACCTCGACTACAAAAGCACTGTACAACAGCCCTCTCCCCCGGGTCCGTGGCAGACGGAGAAGTAAAATTGGTTTAAAAACAGTGTCCCTGGGGCCAAGCCTGCTTACTTTGCCTCATGAGAACTAACCCTCTGAGTCCTCGACATACTGAATTGCATCCAAGTGGCCCGTTTCCACAGTCTCTCCAGCAAGCCATGGTCTCAGGAACTACCGTGCCATTTCCTCTCTGGAGAAGTTCTAGGCGTTTCCTTCACAAGGTTTCCAACTGGGGTCATGTCATCAGAAGAGCCTCTGCCCGCACTGGACAGTCATCTAATGTCACTCCCCAGAGCGTATGGGAGCATCAGCAGACTTTTTGACTGGACCTTTGGGGACATTCCAGAAGGTGCTGCAGGGTTGCTGATGAGTAACAGGTGCCTACAGCTAAAGGTCCCTTCAGCTTTGCTTTGCTGCTGGGAAAGGGTCCGCGACCTGGCACTTTAACCACACAAGGAGAGTCATCGCTGCCCGACTTGTGTGGTCAGTGGGAGCAGAGCCATGGAGCCCATCCTCCTCCTTAGAGGAGAGCTGTGCTGGCGTTGCCCCGTTATTGGGCCAGCTGTTAGAAGGTAGGCATTTCACTTTCTTGCAAAGCCATCAGAGACCAAGCCCAGATACGCATTCGAGCACTCAGCATTCTTCTCTTTGGAACACGGGATATCTGCCCTCTAGAATGAAAATTCGAGTTAAGTCTTACTAGACATTAGGTATCTCGTCATATGTGTCACCTCCTGTTCTGTTCTTCCTTTCCACCTCAGTTCAATCCTTAGGACTTGACTTGCTCTGCAAGCTTGACGTGAAAGCTACTGGATACTCTGAAGCTGTCTCCTGGGGCTGCCTTATCTGGATGTGGTAACAAGGTGGCAGGTAGTCATTTTTTTCTTGCAATCTCTGGTTCCTCAGAAACTGCTGCCACCAGCAAGAGAGACTGTACGAAGGTGCCCCCTCAGCCTGCTTTCTTATGCAGGTAATTCCCATAGTGCAAATCCTGCCGCAATGAACAGCTTAACAAAACCCAAAGATCTCACACTGGGCTTCTGATTTCCAGCAATATCCACCTTATTCAAGTTCTAGCTCAGCCAAAGGATTGAGATAGGCTTTTCCGGTTCATCTCCAGGCTCCCAACCTGGCATTAACCTTCGGAAAGATTTTGTTTTTCTGCTTCCCACTTCTGTGACTGCTGTAGGAGTTTCCACCACAGGCCCTTGGGGCTGGCAGACCAGGAACCATTTGTGTCATGTTTTGGGCAGCCAAAGGCGGTTACCTGCTGACTTGGACACAACTCGTCTCAAGCCATGTGATTCCTAGGACAGAACTGGTCTTTGTTTTGGTATACACAGACCCCAGAGGAGACTCTACAGGGGTCTTGCCCTTCATCTAAGGTCAGTTAGCTTCACCACCAAAGCCCAAGCCAAGGACCACGCCTCGTGGGTGGTCTCTCAGATTTGGCGTAGCCCGGGGGCCTTGGCTGCACCAAGAGCAGCGATGCCATCCCAGTCATCGTGAGTGGATGCTCTTGTCCCGACATTATTCTCCCTTCCCTGTGCCTAGGTCAATCAGCCCGGCCTCCTTCCTGGGGGTAGTTAGGAACCAAGAAACAAAACGAAAGGGCCACCTGACTCTGCATCTAGCCTGCCTGACGTCCTCATGCTTCACAGAGATTGGCTCTCGGCTGCGAAAAGGGTATGATGACGCAATTGAGAAGTTATGAGTTTTTAGGATTCAAGGAAGGACATTTTGTTTTTTGACATCAGGTCCGTAGACTGGCAGGTGTTCTCTCCTTCAGTTCGCTCTTTTATCTCCTGCACTTTCAAGAAACACCAGAGAAAAGCTCCGTGAACTATAGTTTCTACTAGTAAGCCAAACTTGTGTCTTTAGGAGTCCCCTATGCTTGCGGGAGGCCACATGCTCCCACCTGGACTTGGACTAGACTCCTTGGAGAGTGAGCACCTGGAGAGATGTCAAAGATACAGCACACACTCTGTGGGATCCACAGGTTCACAAGAAAGGTTGAAATGAAGCTGGGATGCAGATGGAGAAGGGAGGTCCCATGAGAAATGGCCTAGAAGGGGCCAGTACCTGGATAGTGTCATCCCGATGGATGTGCTTGCAGAGACAGGAAGATGAGGTGCACTGGGCATGGTGGGCAGCCTCCTGCCACACTGAGTTGGATCGAGTTCATAGCTGTGCCCCTGCCTTGGGAACAGGGCAATGCCTGTGCCCCTGGGATGTACCTGAGGAAAGGCTCCTAGACAGCCTGCTGCTTTAGACAGAACCAAGAGGCTATGTAAGGCTCAGGCTGTCCCTTGGAGACAGTAGGTGGGGGGCTCCTGTCTTAGCCCTGCCAGCCCTGCCCTAGCCACCTGTATTCATCTGGGCCAGCAGGAGAACTGGAACGGGGCCTGCCCCTCTCTTCACTGTGGCTAATGTTTGCTAGGCCAGTTATGGTGAACCAATGATAACAGTGTTTTTCCCTCTTATGTTGCCCTCCTGGTTTCCCCTTTTCAGAATTTTCTGGACGGTTTCGTCGTTGTTTTGCTTTATCTCTCATAGGGTTTGAGGGTCGTAGTCGATAGAGGTCTGCCTTTTCTTAAAGGGGCCCTGTGGTTTCTGTGTGCAAAGGTTCTGCTTCCGTTTTGATAAGAGTGAAAATCCTTAGGTCGCTGTTTGTATATTGACGCAACCACAGTGTCACTTTAAAGAGTCAATTCCTGTATAGAGAAGGATCTGCTAGGTTTGCAGTTGGGCATCACCATCAGGATCCATGAGGGTCCTATCCATCCATGCGTCCCACCGGGCACCTTGACTCTTCAAACCAAAGTTCCTTATAGGGGCACAGCCCAGCCTTGACTGCAACCTCAGGGGCCTGGGATCCCTGTGGCACTTCCTGAAGTCCAGGTTGGCAGAGACCTTTGGGTCTGAGACCGGCCAGAAGGAGGGGCTCCTCTCACAACCCAGGCGCCAGCCAGTCTCCTACCTGGGACCCTCCCTCCCACCCAGCTAGGGTGGCTGGGTTCCCCAACAGTGAGCAAGCTCGTGGACTGGTGTGGGGCTGGGACTCACCAGCCAGGAGACAGAGGGACCTGCGGGGCTGGAGGCGCTCAAACCCACCAGGCAGCACGTCCAGGGCCATTCAGATCCCGAGCATCAGGAAATAATTTTGTACAAACACCTGAAGCAGAGATATTTTTTAAAAAGTATAAATTATTTTCAGTTCTCTTCTGATCCTACCTTTTTCTTTTCCCCACAACTTCACATCAGTGACTCTTTCACATCAGGTAAACCTTGAGAAAGCCTTGGTGCCCCCTCCCTCCCACACCTCACTCCGTAACCAAGTGTGTGCACCCCACATCCTTTCTCAGTAGTTAAGATGTTCTAGGCAATACCATAGGCACATCGGACTGTGTCTCTCTCTTCGAGTGCAAGAAACTCAAGTCATCTTTAAAAAATACAAAAAAAAATTTACAAAAAAACAAACACAAAAAAATATCTTTTTTAGGCCAGAGTTTTCTACAGGTATTAATGAATATTTTTCTTAATCCTTATAAGTTTTATGTGTTTAATATTTCTTAATACCGGTAGCATTAATTTATACTTTTGTAGCAACACAATATTTTTATAAACAGCCAGTGCTTGGCTCAAGTCTCCACGAGGGGTTTATGCAGGGCCATCTTGGGACTCTGTGTACCATGTACTGTATTTAAAAAAAAAAAAAAGTTACCTAGTGTCACCCTTGCTGTGTTAATTAACAAAAGATGTTGTTTGCAGTCTCCTGTGTCAGTGTGGATCCAAAAACCTGTGGATCCAACAATTCTACAAGGAGTCACATTGCATGGGGGTTGAGTTGACGGTTCTTGTGTGATATGTAAGCCCCCGAGACCAAACTTGAGGGTTTATTTAAGGGTTTTCTGTTTGTCCTTTGGTTTTTTTTGTTTCACTTTGTTTTGGTACCGTTTCTCCATTTACAGCCAAATCAGTTTTGTGATGTTTAAAACATATACTGATGTCAAATGGAGGAAAGGAACAGAAAAAGAGAAGAGTTTTACAAAATAATAAAATTTAAAACTGAGCTGTTTAAATGTTGCTGTTTTTACCTGTCTGTTCTTGTCTGAAAGTGGGACATTCCCAGGGAGAAGAGGAATGTTCCACTTGGTTCCTTAAATCGCCAAAAGCCCCAGGCCAGAATTCAGAACCCCTCTACTCCATGAATTATTGCAACATTATTTCCCAGTTGGTTGATACCAAGGCAAAAAGACATCCTTTTAATGGTTAGAGGATCAGTTGCTTAAATGATTTCATGTCAGTGTTGTATTTATGGTTTTACAATAAAACAACCTTTAGGAAGATGGCAGTGTGTGGCTTTATTTCTTGGATTTGGGCTTGGGCCATGTCATCCACTTAAGAGCATCTGCTGGTGAGTAGAGATGGACCAGAGGCAGGGCACCTGGGGGTGACGGCTGGAGTCCATCCCAAGGGGGATACTGTGAGATCAGTGCTGTCAACCGTTTATCTGAGCTCATTGTTCACCTCCGGCACCAGACCCAGCTCAGCCACTGTTTGATAAATAGGGGAGGGACACGGCCGACAGGAGACGTGGTCCCTGTGGGCCTTGCTTATGGAGCGTTACCCCATGAAAGAATGAATAGATTGCATCAGAATCCTACAGACCCAATGCCTGAGGCACACAAGTCTCCTTTGCCCAGTGGTCATTTCATTTGCCACTTGTGACCCTGTACCCTTTGTCCTTGACCTCTCAAGTGATAATGTGTGATGTTATGTGTTGTGTGTATCGTCCATTTTCTGGGGAAAGTGTCTGTGGCTTTGCCAAATTCCTGATGGCATCTGCGAGCACCCTCCATGGTGAACTGCAAGGAACCAGCCTGGGTGAACTTGCCCCACTGCAGGCCTCACCCAGAGCTTCACATTACAGACACGCACATCAGTGCTTTACTTAAATGAGTTCAGCTGAAGGCGAGTCGGAGAGAAGGTGCCAACGGAAGACAAACTGTGGCCTGAGTGGGTGGGGAGGGGTGACAGGTCCTCCTAAAGCTGGCCTGCTGCTGTGAAATGCCCTTCCAAAGGTAAAACCACCATCTTGCTACCAAGTTGATGGGATGCCAGACACCGCAGCACCCAGCTTTATCCCTGTCCTCAACCACATGTGGGGTGCTCTCCTTGGATCAGCTGAACAAATTCCATCAAATCGCACATGTAACAACGTAAAGGCTGTAAGCTGGACCAACCTCCCAAAGGGCATTAGCCCTGCCCTGCAAACCACCGTGTGGGAGTTTCCTGTTGTGACATGGACTGTGTAGACATTCCTGAGCAAGCGATTGAAGTTTAATCGAGTTTCTATGCAGTCTAAATCAAAAATTGGGAGTCTTACTGTAGCTGAAAGCATGTTCCTCACACTCTGGAACTTCGTGATCCAATAAGGCCAGAGCCTGGCCCAGAGCCTTCCGATGCCTGGATTTTAAAGTTCATAAAAGGACATGTTTCTTTATAAAGCAGCCATATCTGTTTTTTAATAGAAATGAGTGACTAAGAATCGTGAGTTTTCAGGACAACACTTTGCTGAGAATGACTGTGGAGCCTCTGAGATGAGCATCACGGACTCCTGACTTAAGTCGCAGATGGGCTTCAACCCCACTCCACCCCTAAGGGATAACATAATGATCCAATGGAACCTTCTGTTGCGAAGGCTTTAGTCGATGTCATGGAAACAGATGCCTCCGGTGACTGTATTTATGGTGAACCGCAGGGTTGGTGAACCGCAGGGTTGGTACTATCTACAGGGGCCGACTCAGCTCAGCTCCTAGCCCTTGGCATGCAGAATGCAAGACAGGGGCTGCCGGAACTTATTTTTCTAGAGAATTGAGAAACCCAGATTTTTATATGGAAGCTCAGTTTTTAAATGGTGAATTCAGAACTGTAAAAATAATCTGCACATCCCATCCACCAGCTGGCCCACACACCTGTGGCTTGCACCTTGTGGTTTAAACATTTATTCTTCAGGTCACTTCAAAATATCCCTGTTCAGAGTGGCACCTTCAAACTGCTGTAGGTGGCCGTCCCTGGTGTATGAGGCATGACCGGAGATATGGATGCAGGATATGATGACATTTGTTACTTCCGGGGCGGAGAGCCTGCCTGTCACTTCTCCCTGAACCCACTGCCCAGACTCCACCTACTTCTGCCCAGAGAGTCTTGGCCATGACCACGAAGACTGTCCCTCAGGACCATCCTCTCTGTTGGAACTTGGGAGCCCCAAGCAGGAGCGGGGGACTTTATGTGGTCTGACCAAGGGGTCTGCAAAGCTTTCTACACCCAAATCCTTGCCTCTGGGTTTATCCCCTCAACAAGAGAAGTGGAATTCCCTCCTTCTTTCCTGCCGTGTGTCTTCAGCAGATAGGCTGATGACATGAGGATGAGCCTTGACTGACTGAACCCCCAGCCCTTAGCAGGCTGGTCACCCCACAGAGAAGAAGTGCTGGCTCTGCTTGGGTTTCTGCTGCTGGGTCAGCTTTTCACTTCCAGGACACCCAAAGCTGAGGCTTCGCTCCCTCGGCAGCAGCCACATCCAGCGGGGCTCTGGGTGGATGGAGCTAGCAAGAGAGATTTATGAACTGCATGTTTATATCCAGGGTGTCTAAACTGGAGGCTCCCAGCGTCATGTTCTTGGGCCAAGTTGGTGCCTGAGCCACCCTGGATGGCCTGGTCTACCTGTTCTCAAGGGAGGAAAAACCAGGCCAGACCAAGGGCTACTGGGTCTGGTCAAGGGCCCTGCTGGTTGTCAAGACACAATGTGAAGGTCAGTGAACATTCTCCTTCTGGGGCAAAGGGCCAGAGTGAGGATCCCAGGAGGTGGGAACTAGAAGGCCTGGTGGAGAAACAGCTGAGATTTTTCAGCTCCCGGCAGCTGGTGCTGGGGACATGGCTTTGGCCAAAGTGAAACGTTGGAGGGGGGTCCATGCAGCAAAAAAACGGGAATTATTTCAGGCACTGAGCTGCCTGGGCACACTGGGGTATAATTATTCTGTTCATGGGTTGCTGATGACCTGTCAAACCCTCCCAGAAACAAGTACCCAGTTTTTGCCTCTCCTAGCTTTTTGAAAGCAAACAACCTTATTTTTATGCTATTATGGAGTAAATAGAACTGTGACTTATAATTTGCATAGCCAATCTCAATGTCCGAAGATAGTTCTATTGTAATTCCAACACATTTTTCTACTTCTGGGGAACACTGGGTCACTCATGGTCCCACCTGCCCCTCTCGCCACCACGTTATACGATTGATGACAATGATGAACAGCCAGGACATGGAATTTCAGGAGTCTACAGTTTGGTTTTTATTTGAACCCAGGGCTCTTGGGCCAGCCCGCCCAGTGTGGGGCCCTGGGACAGACAGTGGCCACAGCCTCCCTGCTGCCCTCTGGCCTGTGGACTCTGGCCTCGGACTGTTCAGTTGGAGAAGCGCAGCAGCTCCTCATCCCCTGTGGACAGAGAAAGAGGCTCAGGGAGCAGATGAGAGGCTTTGCCTGAGGGGATGGTCGGGGGAGGGGATGCCTCATGGAGGAGGAAAGGCAGCTTGGGCTGAGTTGGGGCCTGTTCCTGAGGCCTTCTAGAAGCTTCTGCTTGCCTGATAACTTGATTTCTCCAAAGTGCATCCCACAGAATGATCTGATGTGTTTCCTCTTCTGATTTACTTTAGGTGTCATTTCTCAGTTGGGAGATGAGGCACAAAAATCTTAAATGGCTGCTGTGCCCTGGAACGCTATTAGTGGTCTCGCTAGCCCCACTGTTATTATCAGTAAGAGCTGCCGTTAGCTGAGTCCTGACTTGTGCTACGCACTGGGAAGTCTGGGAAGTACATACTTTCTCCCGTTTTACAAAAGAGAAAACCGAGGCTCAAATCGGCACTTGCCCAGTGTGGCCAGCCTGAATGTGGCAGCGCCAAGAGACCTGCAGAGCTGGGCTCCTCGGTCTGCCCTGCACACCCTCAGCCTGTGCCTGGCCAACGCCTCCCAGGTGCCTCATCCCACCTGGGGTAAGGCCAAGGCTTTGGCCCCATTTTACAAATAGGAAGCTGAAGCCCAGAGAGTGAATAGGCTGGTTACCTGGTATAAAGTTCAGAACTCGGCTCTCTAGGCACCCCCTCCCTACTGGGGCTCTCCCCCTGGATCCCAACAACCCCTTGGCCCAGCTTGGCACCCGCAGGGCCTCCTACCATCACCAGGGACACCACAGTACTCCTTGCACTCCTTCTCCGAGTAGAACTTGTTGCCATTGCCTTGGCAGCCCCCATAGGTGAAGAGGACACACTTCCCCTGGACAGCATCAAATGCCCAAAGCTGGTTGTAGCTGTGGCAGGGGCCACGGACTATGGGGAGATTGCAGGCCGCTGTGGAGTGGGAGGGAGGCACACAGCATTAGTAATCCTTAGGATTGGCTGACCTGAGGCAACGGGCCTGAACTAGGGGACCTGCTCATCTAGACCACCTTGTCCCTCTCTTCTAGATGGAAACTCAGGCCCATGAGAAGAAAAGTTTGCCTAAGGTCACCCATATCCAAATGTGTGACTCCTGTGACGTAAGGAACCTTGCCCTAGAATTCCACGCTACCTGTTCAGTTGGCAGGTGCTTTGTTGGGAGGACAGCGCTATAGGGTATGGCGTGCACAGAGGCAAAGGGCCTGCACTCACCCACAGTTCGGCAGGTCTGCAGACACTCCTTCTCTGAAGCAAAGTTGTTGCCATTGCCCAGGCACCCACCATATTGGAAGGTCTCACAGGCCATGGACGAGCCGTTATAGAAATACCTCCTGACCATCCCCAGGCAAGGACCTTCTGCATAGCCCAGCTGGCAGGAATCTGGGGAGGGGCAGAACATCAGTTTTCACTGAGTACTTCCTGTGTACCTGTCACGGGGCTGGACACTTACCACGCATCATGTCATTTATCGTTCATCTCTGCACTCAGAGGAAAGCTTATCAACTCATTTTATAGACGAGGAAACTGACTCTCTGAGAGGTTAAGTGACTTGCCCAGGGTCACACAGAGCTGTGGTTCAAAACTATGTCTGTTGGACTCTCAAATCAATGCTCACTCCACTCCATAACATGGGAGTTACCAGCGATCCACAGACCCACCATCCCACCTGCTGTTTTTGTCTGCCCAAAGACTCTGTAATAATAGTAGTTGATGATACATTCACCAGCACCCATGCTGGCCAGGCTGACCTCTTCACTGAGGTCCCACCACCACGACTTTGCCATCACTGTTCCTGCCCCCGGAATGCCTCCCTCC